GATCTTTGTCTCCTTTGTGTGGCGTCTCAGTGTCACTCTGCAGTAGAACGTGTCGATGTCACGGCGATGTAAAGTGATGTGGAGATTCACAATGAACAGCCCAGCATCTCTGTGTGACTCTGTATCTCCTGCAGTCAGAATGTTTCTTTCACTGTCCAGCCACTGAAGATCAGGCTCAGGCCACCAGCCTTTAGATTCACACAGTAAACTGAACTGTTCAGAGTTACTATCATAGCTCTCCACTGTGATCACTGGACGTGTTCCAATAACTGGATTAAAGAAGGAATCAAAATATGAGTCAGAGTGGCATCACATCCTTTTAAATACAGCCTCATTCCAATTTTAAACATTAATTAAAATTGCAACATAATTTTTTACCTTCAACAGTAAGGTTAAAGGAGAAATCACTGTACCAGAATCTGGACTCAACACTACATTTGTACTGTCCTTCATCAAAAACGTTAACTTTACTCAGTCTCAGTGAGACGTTGCCGTTCTGTAGCTCCTCTTTAAACAGAGCTGTTCTCCCTCTGACATGAGGAATCTGTCTGGTGTTCATGTCTTTATGATTTCCATAGAAATGCACTAGAGGGCCTCCCAGGTCTGATCTGGTCCACTTAATGTTCATATCCACAGCACTCAAACTGGACGTATGATTAAAGCGTCGAACAGAACACGGCAGAACAACATCAGAACCAGGTGTAGCTACAACAGGAGCATCTGGACCCACAACCTCAAACTTCTCTGTAAAAGAGAAACAGAACATTTAATAAACCACAGATAATCTACTCAATAACACACCACAGATAATCTACTCAATCACACACACACCACAGATAATCTACTCAATCACACACACCACAGATAATCTACTCAATAACACACACACCACAGATAATCTACTCAATCACACACACACCACAGATAATCTACTCAATCACAAACACATCACAGATAATCTACTCAATCACACACACCACAGATAATCTACTCAATCACACACACCACAGATAATCTACTCAATAACACACACCACAGATAATCTACTCAATCACACACCACAGATAATCTACTCAAACACACACACCACAGATAATCTACTCAATCACACACACCACAGATAATCTACTCAATCACACACACAAACCACAGATAATCTACTCAATAACACACCACAGATAATCTACTCAAACACACACACCACAGATAATCTACTCAATAACACACACAAACCACAGATAATCTACTCAAACACACACACCACAGATAATCTACTCAATAACACACACAAACCACAGATAATCTATTCAATCACACACCACAGATAATCTACTCAAACACACACCACAGATAATCTACTCAATAACACACACAAACCACAGCTAATCTACTCAATCACACACCACAGATAATCTACTCAATCACACACCACAGATAATCTACTCAATAACACACACCACAGATAATCTACTCAATAACACACACAAACCACAGATAATCTACTCAATCACACACCACAGATAATCTACTCAAACACACACACCACAGATAATCTACTCAATCACACACACCACAGATAATCTACTCAATAACACACACACCACAGATAATCTACTCAATAACACACACCACAGATAATCTACTCAATAACACACACCACAGATAATCTACTCAATAACACACACCACAGATAATCTACTCAATCACACACACACCACAGATAATCTACTCAATAACATACACCACAGATAATCTACTCAATAACACACACCACAGATAATCTACTCAATAACATACACCACAGATAATCTACTCAATAACACACACCACAGATAATCTGCTCAATCACACACACCACAGATAATCTACTCAATAACACACACACCACAGATAATCTACTCAATCACACACACCACAGATAATCTACTCAATCACACACACCACAGATAATCTGCTCAATCACACACACCACAGATAATCTACTCAATAACACACACACCACAGATAATCTACTCAATAACACACACCACAGATAATCTACTCAATCACACACACCACAGATAATCTACTCAATAACACACACACACCACAGATAATCTACTCAATCACACACGCACACCACAGATAATCTACTCAATCACACACACACACCACAGATAATCTACTTAATCACACACACCACAGATAATCTACTCAATAACACACACCACAGATAATCTACTCAATCACACACACCACAGATAATCTACTCAATAACACACACCACAGATAATCTGCTCAATCACACACACCACAGATAATCTACTCAATAACACACACACCACAGATAATCTACTCAATAACACACACACCACAGATAATCTACTCAAACACACACCACAGATAATCTACTCAATAAGACACACACACACACCACAGATAATCTACTCAATCACACACACCACAGATAATCTACTCCATCACACACACCACAGATAATCTACTCAATCATACACACCACAGATAATCTACTCAATCACACACAACACTGATAATCTACTCAATCACACACACCACAGATAATCTACTCAATCATACACACCACAGACAATCTACTCAATCACACACACCACAGATAATCTACTCAATCACACACAACACTGATAATCTACTCAATCACACACACCACAGATAATCTACTCAATAACACACACACCACAGATAATCTACTCAAACACACACCACAGATAATCTACTCAATAAGACACACACACACACACCACAGATAATCTACTCAATCACACACACCACAGATAATCTACTCAATCACACACACCACAGATAATCTACTCAATAACACACACACCACAGATAATCTACTCAATCACACACAACACTGATAATCTACTCAATCACACACACCACAGATAATCTACTCAATCATACACACCACAGATAATCTACTCAATCACACACACCACAGATAATCTACTCAATCACACACACCACAGATAATCTACTCAATCACACACACACACCACAGATAATCTACTCAATCACACACACACACACCACAGATAATCTACTTAATCACACACACCACAGATAATCTACTCAATCACACACAACACTGATAATCTACTCAATCACACACACCACAGATAATCTACTCAATCATACACACCACCAAAGATAATCTACTCAATCACACACACCACAGATAATCTACTCAATCACACACACCACAGATAATCTACTCAATCACACACAACACTGATAATATACTCAATCACACACACCATAGACAATCTACTCAATAACACACACCACAGATAATCTACTCAATAACACACCACAGATAATCTACTCAATCACACACACACCACAGATAATCTACTCAATCACACACACCACAGATAATCTACTCAATAACACACACACCACAGATAATCTACTCAATCACACACACACCACAGATAATCTACTCAATCACAAACACATCACAGATAATCTACTCAATCACACACACCACAGATAATCTACTCAATCACACACACCACAGATAATCTACTCAATAACACACACCACAGATAATCTACTCAATCACACACCACAGATAATCTACTCAAACACACACACCACAGATAATCTACTCAATCACACACACCACAGATAATCTACTCAATCACACACACAAACCACAGATAATCTACTCAATAACACACCACAGATAATCTACTCAAACACACACACCACAGATAATCTACTCAATAACACACACAAACCACAGATAATCTACTCAAACACACACACCACAGATAATCTACTCAATAACACACACAAACCACAGATAATCTATTCAATCACACACCACAGATAATCTACTCAAACACACACCACAGATAATCTACTCAATAACACACACAAACCACAGCTAATCTACTCAATCACACACCACAGATAATCTACTCAATCACACACCACAGATAATCTACTCAATCACACACACCACAGATAATCTACTCAATCACACACACCACAGATAATCAACTCAATCACACACACACACCACAGATAATCTACTCAAACACACACAACACAGATAATCTATTCACACACAACACAGATAATCTACTCAATCACCATCACCAATCATCCACTTATCAGATTATTGAGTGAGTCATTCTATAAGTTGGGGTACATTCCATGTCCATTGATAATAATTATATTTAGTTTATTTTCTTCAAAAATGTCATATTTTACATATTAATCAAAAGCATGTTTTAATATCCCTCAAACATTACGTGCATCCTGAGCTTCATTTAGCTTGAAATTTGACACTGTATTCCTAAATTGACAATATTTGCTGTCTGTTTTTCACTTCAGGATGTGTTGGTTTCAAAATAAGTCAAAAACAACTATTTTTATTTATTTCAAGTTCAAAGTTTAAATACTAAATAAAAATAATATTTCTAATTTGATTTTCTCATTCTCCACAGTACCTCAGTACCATGTGAACAGCATCACATAACCTCATGTTCTTCTGTGCTAAGCATACTGACCACACTGTGGTAAATGTCCACTTATTTTTTTCACACTTTACTTTCTCCATCAACACATTTTTTAAAAATCCAGTAGTTTTTAATAGATGTCAGCAACTGACAAACAGCCAAGATACAGGGCTCGGCGAGCCTCTAATACTGCACGAAGGGCATTTATATGCACATTCATTTTAATACATGTTAGTTACTTATTGAAGTTACTGTATTATTACTTAATATTTAGCTTTTAGGTTAGACTTCACCTGGACCCATATGCTAGTTTTAACTGATTACAAAAACACTACTTTAAAAACTGTTCTTTACTTGTTTCTCTACTACATTCTCAGAAAAAAAGGTAGTAAACTGTCACTGGGGTGGGACCCTCAAGGGTCCATCTCAGTACTTTAGTAAGGGAACATAACTGAACCATAATCCACTGAATGATGTGTTCTAAGCTGTACTGACTCCACACACCCCGTCTCGCCTCCAGGCTTTTATTTTACTGTTCTGTTTTAAAACATTCGGTTATGAAAAGGTACAAATACAAACTTTTCACCTGGAAAAACTTATTTAAGGTGCACAATCAGACCTTAAAACCACTCTAGAACTTTTGAGGGAACATTTACATTGTTTGTACTTTGACAAATGAAAAATCTACCTGCACAGAACCTTTATTTCTGACAGTGATTAAGAGAAACAAGTAAAGAACAGTTCTGTACTTCTTTGTCACTTTTGATAAAACTGTCAAATTTGTCAGTGTAATATAAAATATTTAGACTGTTCTATATGAGCTGAGTTTTTCTAAATTAATTCTGAATGTATGAATTAAAAGCACCAATTAATGATGAATGATAAAACACTAAATTCATACAAAATACTCAATAAGCTTTAAATTTGCACTGTGGGAAACATGTTGTAATGTTTGTTTTTGTTTTCCTTGTTAGTAAATTTTAAATGAATTGAGTATTTTGTATGAATCTAGAATGTATTGTTTTATCATTGAATTCTTCATGCTTTCAATAGAATTTTGTACCCCTGCCTTGAAATAAACATAGTGCGACTCAACTATGTTACTTGCATCCACTGAGGGTCAAATTTAAAATGCCTAAAATGGTGCTTCTGATATAATTTAAAATACGTTGCACATCTATGTTGTTCAGAGTTTTGCAAGACGTCTCTTAAAACTATTACAACTACCCGTATTATAGAGTTACTGTACCTGAAAGAGCGCAGCGGAGGAACAGCATCATCACCCAAACACCCTTCATTTCTGAAACACAAGAACAACAGTTCAGTTCACCGAGCACAGCTGATCACAGATACCTACACTAAAACTCAATCAGTGCTGAACTTAACACACTTTAACACGCACTCACCTGAGGACTCTAAATGACTTTGAACCATTTCAGTTCATTCCCTTCAAGGAATTAACTTGTATAAAGTTCTATCAAGTCACACTAAAGCAGCTACTGAAAAAACAGAACTGGTAAAAACCCAACGCCTCAGCCAACGTGCGACAGCAGTGTGCTGTTGATAAGATGTGTGTGTGTGTGTGTGTGTGTGTGTGTGTGTGTGTCTGAAGGTTGCGTGGTTTCACTCTCTCACTCAACTCCCCCACTGACTCTGGAATACAGTAACAGTCATTTCTAAAACCGTCGATGCTGCTGTACAATAAACTCTCTCAGTGTGTAGCTCTGCTAATATTTCTCGTCAGTTCCCACACTCAGTGTGAACGCGCTATGGAACTTAACATCTCCAAACACTGTTCAGTCTCTCTCCACCACAGAATGCTACTTATTATTTGGTTTAATTATTAATGTTCTGTTACCTCAGCCAACATGACAGCCTCATCACTTCCAGCTCACAACCAGCCAGTGTGTGAAGAGTTAATTAGCTGATACCAAACATGGTAAATTAAAATGATTCAAAAAGACTGTAAAAATTAACTTAATCTTGGTGTCTGGAGTGTAAAAATGCAAAAGATAGACTTGTCCCTCAATATCACCTCGTAGAAAATGCTACAGGAGGGGTGTCCACAGTCGGGCCAAATGCAGCCGGCTGACAGATATTAATAGGCTTGTGGTATCGCTCTTAAGAATGCGTTATTGGCGGCCCACCGGCCAGTACGTTGCAGTTTTTCCTTTCACCTGATGTTGGCAGAGTACATAAATGAACAGTGTGTTGCGCCACTGTGTTATCGAAGTTAGCTAAACTCCAAGAACCTTTTTCTCGGACTGGATATGCAAATAATGTACTGAACGACATTTTGTGATGGCTACAGAAAAAAAGCACAAAGCTCACAGTGAGAACTGGTGACTTTAAGAAAGATTCAGATTTCTTTTTTATTGAGGCCCACAGAAAATGCAATTACATTAAAAGGAATTTAGCCTCAAGAGACATTTTGAAACAAAGCACCGGAATGACAGTAAATTCAGTCAGATGAGAGGGCAGAGAAACCTAAGCCGCTGGATGCTACCCTGGTCTCTTAGCAGCAACTTTTTATTTGGCCATGGGGGCTGCAGGAGAATGTGACCAGAGGTAGTTATGAGGGATTTCATTCCACGCAAATCACTAAGCATGGAAAACCCTAATGGTGAGTTTATGAAAAAATGCTTAAATAAAGTGGTCAATGTCATTTGCAAAGAAAAAAATTACGAATTTATAAATTTAATCTTATGTCTAACGCTACCGATGGCTGCCATACCAGATAGATCTAACACATGTAATGCGAAGGTGCAGCTCCACACCTCACATTAGTTTCTGTTGGGCTGTCTGTTCTGGTGAGCTGTTCTGTATTTAGTTGGTTGTGTGACTTAAACTAAGTTTCTTAACTAAGAAACTTGCATAGCAACTGAGTAATGAAATATAACCTGTATGAGAAATATTGACAGAAAATGTTCAGCTTAAATAATCTGCAGTAAGTTGCAGTATTGTTCACTCTATTGATATCCTGCTGCAGTTACTTTACTAAAATAAAACTCATTTATAAAAACATTGTAATTGTTCTATACATCTTTGTTTTTTTCATATTTTAATATAATTATTTTGCATAATTTTATAATAATATATTGGCAAAAAGAGGCTGTATTTCGGTTAAATCTGTTCCCCTTTGAAAGAAGTCTGGACACCCCTGTGCTAGAACATCAGAGACTTTAGTTCTGCCAACTAACTGCAGTAGCTGACCTAACTTTGCTCTGTCTCTGTCTGATTGTTTGTATGAATATTTAACTATGTGAGAGAGACTCTTTGACTGTTTCACTTCCCAATAAAGTAAAAACACATTGAGTCAGTATGAAGCAGTTAGTATGAATAACAAAGCAATGTCACAGTAAAGAATTATAGTAATACAAGAATTAATAAACACAGTCTATCATTATCACTTCCCAGGTATTTGAGACTCAAACTGCTGCTGTCTGAACTCTGACCAGCATTGTGCTGAATTCCATCCCCCCGGCAGAATCTGACCCCCCTTCGTGTGTGTGTGCGTCATACAGGCATCTGGACGCTGTAGATTACACTCCGGGTATGTGTGACTTTCACTTCCTGTGTGTAAATAACGGTTTATACCACAACACAACCTAAAGCCAAACACAGAGTCTCTCAGTGAGAGTTTAATTTAATATAATAAACTAAAAACACTGGTTGTTGGATTTGGGGGATTGAATGGCTTTCAGTCATAATAACAGGCATAAAGAGAACACTTTAAACACAGAATAGCCCACAGCTCTCAGTTTCAATTTTTAATGAAATACAACTTTTAATAAGATTTTTGAGATGGCACTGAAACAGTTTAGCCTAACTTGTCTCTAATAAGCTAAATGATATCCAGCTAGGCCAAATCTAGAGTGCTTAATGAATTAGATTATAAATATGTATACACTGCACTACGCAAACAGAAGTTGGCTATTTTGATTTAAAATGGTAGAAATTTTTAAAGTTAATTGTGGTTGAAATGTCAGCAGATATTACGTAGTCGGGGAGGGGGGGGTTAAAACTTGCCAAAATAATACTGCCCCATTATCCCAGGGGTAGTTTATATTGTATTCATTATTATAGAGTATTGCATTTAAAGAATATGTCTTTACCCAAGAAGGGGGTTTTATGAGGGTGGGGGTAGAATTTTTGGTACATTATTTTGATACTTGTCCAGATTAGACTCCCCTTTATCTCATGTCCTCAGAGGTGAACTTGGTTAGAGTAAGTATGTTATTGCTCCAGAATTAGGCTCTCCTGTCTTTATAGTTTTCTTGTAATATTGGTCTTTATGGCTGGAATCCGTTTAATCCTCCAAGTCCAACAACCACCATCTTCAGTTTATTACATTCAACTCTCACTGTGAGGCTCTGTGTTTGGCTTCAAATACTATTGTGCTGTTTGGTGTGAAGGAAAATTAAAGATTATCCACTATTTACACATAAAAACTTAAAGCTACACATCTGTAGTGTCCAGATGCCTCTGTGACACATGTGCAAGTAAAGGGGAGTCATATTCTGCTCAGAGTCTTTTACTGTTATGCCTGTTTCACCAGCATTAATCCAATAATAATCAGAATAAAGTGAAAAAGTACACCAGTCTGTTCAGAGCAGGAGGACTAACTGACCTCCCAAAGCTCTGATAACCTTTATCAGATTATAATGTAGAACAGTGTTTTATTTAGTTTATCATGTTAAACAGTGTTAAACTCAGACTCACTGCTCTCTCAGGTGAAGCTCTGATAGCCTGTATTCTTTATCAGATTATAATGTAGAACAGTGTTTTATTTAGTTTATCATGTTAAACAGTGTTAAACTCAGACTCACTGCTCTCTCAGGTGAAGCTCTGATAACCTGTATTCTTTATCAGATTATAATGTAGAACAGTGTTAAACTCAGACTCACTGCTCTCTCAGGTGAAGCTCTGATAGCCTGTATTCTTTATCAGATTATAATGTAGAACAGTGTTTTATTTAGTTTATCATGTTAAACAGTGTTAAACTCAGACTCTCTGCTCTCTCAGGTGAAGCTCTGATAGCCTGTATTCTGTATTCACCATAGCAATGCAGAACACAATCTCACCTAGCTAGTAGCTAACAAAACGGCAAAGAGAGAGATTTAAGACGGACATCAATAATTTGGAGATGAATGGACATATTTGTGTTTATAATCACTCCAGCTGGTTTCCTGATACGTTTAATCTGCAATGAAAAACTGTCAAATGCTAAAAAGTAGCACGGCTGCAGTCAGCTTCTCATTCGTCAGCAACTCAAATGTTAAGAAGAGCCATTTTGTTCTTTCAAAAATCAAACCAGCTTGAGCCACAACCTTTTATGTCCATTTTACCATCTTGGCTGTAAAGATGTCTTAGTGTGTGCTGATGTACTTGTATAGGCTAAAAAACATAATATAAACGAAAACACAGACTTGCTTTGCTCTCCTTTAAGCTTTAGCTCAGCTATAGCCGCTTTTCTCCGATCTCAGCCAGGAAACATTTCCAAAAGTACAACAGTTTCTTGTAAAATGTCTCTCAATGTTAGATTTTTTATTAGGCTGAAGTCGTTTCTCATTCACCAGCTTCTTGTTTGAATTCTCCCGTTCCACCTTAAATGGTGCCTGAGGCGCCAGAACGTAAACGGCACCATTTAGTTTTAGTTTTGCTTCAAAAGGAAGATTCCCTTATTTGTTTTTGTGGAAACTGTTTTTCATAGGAACCAATTCATTTACATAAATCTACCTATTTTGCTTACAGTAGTTCAGTGCTGTCCAAAATTATTAATAAATGAATGAAATATAGTGAGCGAGTGTGAGGCAGCACAGTGGCGCGGAGTGGGTAGCGCTGTCGCCTCACAGCAAGAATGGCCTGGGTCCGATTCCCGGCTGTGTGACCAGGGTCCTTTCTGTGTGGAGTTTGCATGTTCTCCCCGTGTCTGCGTGGGTTTTCTCTGGGTACTCCGGTTTCCTCTCACAGTCCAAAAACATGCAGTCAGGCTAATTGGTCATGCTAAATTGCGAATGTGTATGTCTGCCTGTCTGCCCTGCGATGGACTGGCAACCTGTCTAGGGTGTATCCTGCCTTCCGCCCAATGACAGCTGGGATAGGCTCCAGCACCCCACTGCGACCCAGAAGGATAAGCGGTTTAGATGATGTGTGTGTGTGTGTGTGTGTGTGAGTGTGACTCACCTTCTCATGCCTTGAGATGCTTCCTCTCTGATGAGCCTCCACCCAAAGAAGCAGTTTAATAGAGCTGAAAAGATTTTGTTGAATGTATTATAAGAGTCCTGAAAACACCAGTGACCATAATCTCTGTGAGTAATCAATTTTTTAAATAGGAAAACATTTTTGATCCCAAAAGGAATCCAAATCTAACAAACATGAACACTTAACTACACAGATTTACATTTGGTCACCAGTACTTAAGTAGCCATTCTCTAAATCTGAATCCTTCAGGAAAGGGAAAAGTGTTACTACTCTAAGAGCAGTAATGAGGACATTTAAAGGTGGGATCCTCCTTCATTAAAACCAGACAAGTAATATTAAGAAACACAGCCAAAATTAAATGTACAGCAA